AGCCGGAGACATTCTAGGTGGACTTGCCGGAAATGTTCTTAGCGGTGGCGGTGGTGGTGAGTCTGAATATGATTTCCAGTAGGTAATGTATGTGCACGCAGTGCATGAGTTCATTTTTATAAAATACCTCGCATAGAAGTTGTGTTTCTTTAGCACTTAGGCTAGGTTACAGTTGTCGTGCCAGCACGGTGCCAGCTCAGTGCCCGTTGTGTACGACACTGGCACGGTGCTGGCAAGGGCTGCTCTGAATGCAATCTTGGAACTGCGCTGAGATTTTCCTGTATCTTTTCACTGTAAATCTGTCACTGCAAATGTAACGCTTATTCTTTGGAGACACTAGCTCAAAAATCTCCTTGATGTTTCTTTTTTTTTGTGAAGTTGCCCTAAATAAAATTTTGAGCAAAATATTAGAAAGTGTATTTTCTTGATTGTGCAAAATTGCGTTTCCCTCATGCCCTGTTTACCTTCCCTGTTCACATTCGGTATAGGGCCTTCAACTCTGTCAAATTTAACATCTGTATTGTGTATCTGTGTCGTTCGTGCCCAGTTCAGTGTTTGTGGTTTGTTCAGGTGGCTATAATAATAATTACGATGGTGGTGGTGGCTTCTTCGGTGGCGGTGGATTACCACCAGAACCACCACCAGAGAAGAAATCTAAAGGAAAGAAAGCGTTGAATTTCCTTGGCGGACTGATTGGCGTAAAGAAAAAGGAGAAGGAAAAAGGTTCGACGTGGACCCCGTAGGTCCAGTGAAAACCGCGTTAGTATACGGCTAAACTCGGCTTGTTGTTGTTGAATGTTTTGCTTTTGTGGTGTTTCATGAAACTTTTCGGGGGAAACGGATGTTTGGTGTGGACGATAACAGACTGACGAATTTTAATATTTTACATCCTGGCAACCTTCGCGATCCGGGGTTGGCGTGTTGCGCCGTGCCAGCGCTGTGCCAGCTCCGTACTAGCAGCGTTCCAGCGTCGTGTTAGCACTATGCTGGAACATCGATCGATTAACACGCTGCGCATCCACTTGAGTTCTGCACTGCACTTGCACG